CTTATATACAACTTCATGAGCGGTAAGTTAACATACACGACAAATAAATATAACTACACTATCAGATACAATTAGATCTCTTTCTTTTGTTTAAAATACACTCGGCTTGATCCTCATTTTAATAGGAATCTCAATTCCAGTTGATGTTAACAAAGATTTTTTTATCGTGCAATCTCAGTAAGGGCAGTTTCAATTTACTGCGGCCGAATGCGAGGTTTAGCTAGACTAACATATTTGTGAAGCAATTCACATACTTTCAAAGCAAATGGCAACCACTTTTGATCGAGAATATGAGAACATTGATTTCATTGTCAAAACACTGGATTTGTATCGATAATGTTAAACTGTACATAATTTATTTGACTACAAATTAACACACAGTATAAGTAACTAATTATGCTAATATAACCAAATATAACCGATCTACTAACCTTCTTGATTTTTATTTTGAATCAATTTGAACATAACATTTCACCATACACATTCTGCATAATTTTTTTTGATATATTTTAAAAATATGACAAACTTTGATTGGAAAAATTATCAGAATTAAAATATATAAACTTGGAAATATCATGCTTTTTGGCATTTTTGTTTACTAAATCATAACGTATTTATAATCCGTTGATACGTGTTATCGTTTGACTGAGCGGTATGAACCGCGTGTTAATTTCCTTTAAAAATTCGTCACGCATAAATATTTTGCTTACAGGATTCCCTGGGTTTTCAGGTTAGTAGCGACCGCTGGCCCTGACCGAAATTATTGTCACGCAAACAACAACCTTTCCCCCTTTTTTGTCGCATGTCTTTGATGTATTTCTATGTAAAATTATGTGAAGTCAAGCAGTACTTTGTATAAGTTTTATGAATATTCCAAAATACTTAAATATGGCAACATTAAAAAACTCCAGCCCATAAAGTAAAGAACTTGGCGTTACGTTTACAAAGATTAAAAATGTTAATTACAAAAGCGTAAATAAAAAAGCTAGGTTTATCAAACTGTAAAATTCGTTTTTGTACAGAATCACCGCAATCGCTTATGTCTGTCAAAATTCGAACACAAAACGTTAATACAGCACATATTTACAAAACATCTGAAATTAAATTTATTTAATGCATGCCATTACCCGATACATTTGTACAAAAGTCACATAAAATTGATTTTCTAAATTAATCGTTCCAAGATTTCTATGGAAAACAGAATCGTTTGTGTCTTAGATTAGCCAGAAATTAAAACAATCCATCAAAATCTTGGAATCAAAATTTCATTTTACCCTTTTAGTTCCAGCACATTACGACAATATTGGCACGAATTTTATTTTCTACAAATTTTGCCAATTTATATGATATCACGTACACCGTGTACCGTCCCTAGCGCGCGCCACTCTGCTATCACTGTTATAAAATCATTCTTGTTGCAGGAAAATTCCGCCGAGAATTCCACAGGTCCTACTTCAAATGTTTCTGTTGCTGCTTCAACTCCGCGGCTGCCGACCAGAACGGCACCTCCTTCGCCCCCATCGGCAGCTCCAGAGCGGGCACCACGCGCACCCTCGTCAGGAGGAACGACTCCTGCGTCAGCTACAGACTGACACATCTCTCCCCATCGAACCACCACAGCATACATAGGGACTGTGCGAGGAACACCAACACTTCCTTCATCGAGCACATGAATGGAAACCGACGACCTAAAATTAGAGACGATTCTATCAGCGAATCCGGCACCAGGTTCACTCTCGCGACAGACGTCGGCAGAGATTGACATATGGGTAAAGATAATTTCTTCGTCTGCTACAACGACTTGAGGAACCGCGACGGAATCGAAAGGTACATCGCCAGGAGTACGAACAGCATCGATTGTAAACCTTATTACGATTGCTTTAAGGGTGCGGGTCCCAGCGGGTGTGAGAGGGCGGCGACTGTGGCGGAGGAGTGTCACAGCGACACGCACGCGGACTATCGGGAGTGTGACAAGGAATGGCGGGAGATGTTCAGGGTCGACGACGAAACGAAAAACGGGTTTAAATCTAAATTTAATCGTAGCTTAAACAGCTGTCAAATTAAAAATAAAAGAAAATGTAATATGATCTATTAGTATTGTTATAAATTGTATAAATAATTAACTAATTAACAGAAATGTCAGTTATGTGCGTACCGGAGCTTAATTGAATGTATTTGTTAATCGTATGACGAAATGATAATTGTACGAATGTTTGAAAATGTTTAAAATATAGGTCACATTAAAGTCATTGCATTTGAATAGTTGTAGGTAACGATTACAAATCAATAAATCGTTCGTTATATTTACTCATTACTATAGATAGCTTTTCTAAGTAACTATAAAAATACTGTTCTGTAAATAGTTTCATTACATTGTCACTTCTGAAATTTCCTTAATCTTTGTCTTTTATCTCGAACTACAACGCTACAGTGGGTTTTCACTGACACTTTAACATTACTATCGTCCCTTTCATTTTCTTTAAAGAAAATTGAGACGACACTACAATGTATTAAAGGTTTCACGGTTAGATTATCCACTTAGCTTCCCGCAACCATTATCTAGCTCATTGTGTTGGTCATTAGGTAAGTCGATCTCACGTTATCATAGGACTTAGTTAATTTTAATTGAGGTAATGCGATGCTTTGAAATGAGATGTTCATTACTGGCGTGTGTTGGTAAACGCGGTCTCTGGGAGCGCAGGAAATGCCTTGTTTACGCAAAACACGCGGCCGTTCGTTAGCGACTAATAATGTCGAGCCCTCGGATATTTTTAGTTCAACATTATGTTGCACGATTGCGTTATTTGGATTGGAATATTTCTGGATGTGCTATTTTTAATGCAACGATTTGTAATTCATTGAAAAATCTTCAATATCCGGTTTCCCAGGCACATAAAACCATTCGTTAGTGTACCTACGTAACTTGAGTTTTACTCTGTTGAAACTTAATTCAACTTAGCACTAATGAGTCACTAGGTAACGATCAAATTAATAGAAACTTCAGCCCAGCAAAAGTTAACCTATATGAAACTCCGTTCTTATCTTATGACGTTCTTTTTTATTTTCATACACTGGATTCCTAAGTATTGTAAAAACTTAATTAAAAAGCATGTACAAAAATACGTATATAGTTATATTTAACTATAATCTAATTGTAAATATTAAGTGTCCATTTAATAGTTTCATGTAGTTTACGAGAAAAAACAGATCTTCTATGAAAGTTTATTGAGACCAAATATTGTAAATAGATTTTATTGTATTTTTGCATAGTCTGTAAGTATCTCTCTTAGTGACTATTTATTTTAATAATAAATTGAAAAAGTAAAAAGTGAACTTACATTTTGAAAATTAAATACGTTGATTTTACCAAAAAGTTGTTAAAACTGCAACGTATTTTAATTTTTATATTTCGTTTAGAAAGCTGTACAATAAAGAGATTTCTAAAATATTTCAATTTAACAGTGAACTAAATTCTTACTAAAAAGATTTATTTGAAAACGCCAACGAGAGTACAAACAAAATTATGCTTCCGTTTGAATTTAAACTTCGTTTAAGTCTGAAACACTTTTTTTAAAACGTTCCGTTTCAATAAATGTCGCTTTGCTTGATTCGTGTCAAGTTTTGCTTTAAATTCGTTTTGAATGCTGTTTTAGTTATTTTTGAACTATGAAATCACTGTTGTAGCAATTGTACGAAACAGTGTTCTCTCCCTTCTCTCTAAGAGATTAAGAAGGACAACAATATTCTTATAAACAATTGTTTCGTCTACACAAGATTTTGTATTAATTTACTCAAAATTTCGATAAAACCTACTGTAGTTTCTCTAATATTGTTTCGTTGATTACCTCGTTGTTATCGCTGCTCTTTTATTTTCTGTTATAAAAAAGTAAAAAAACAATGAATTAAGATATGTGTATTTTTATGTAAATCTACTTTGATGTCAAAAATATGTACAAATAAATATATTAAAGCATTACTTGGTTATTTCATTTTAAATAACTACTCCGCAATATCACAAGCTTACTTCTTACTAATATAAATGCAAAAGTTGAGATGGACGTTTGTTAGCGTTTTTAGGCTAAACTACTGAACGGAACTCGATGAAATTTATTATAGGCAGTTAAGAATACATTGGCTACTTACTTTTGTTTTAATGTCAGGCAGACTGAGTCGCGGTGTAAAGCTAGTATTATTATAATTTTCTATAACATTATATTAATTGTTTAGTCTACATATTGAGAGATGTATTCACCGCAACATAAAATTTTAAGTCATATCAGTTTATATGAACGCTGGTTTACGAGCTGGCGCGATGTTCGCTTCATAAACTTTTACAAGCAATATTCTAAAGTATGTATTTAACGACACAGTTATAACTGGATGTCAAATTCAAAATTAGTAAGACATTGTAGCTCTTTAGTTGTATACAACCACAGACATCTATGTAATAATAGGTCTTCTGTTTCCCTACCGTGTATATCAGGAACCTGGGTAGACAGTAATCAGGAACTAGATACATTGAGGTAAGTAATCGTTAAACAAACGACGATGCACCGACTACATTAACATAGCCATCCGCTGCCAATTCCCAACGCAAATTGAATTAGCATTCTTGATACAACCACTAACTTATCTAAGTCTAGACTAAGTTTTTTTGTATTTTTTTTTTTGTATTAAATCACAAAGTTATATTAGCGCGTACCATCTTACGACTGTATCGTCACTTACTTCAGATGGTATCGTAGTCAAGCGCTAGCTTAACAAATTAAAAACAAAATTACGGTCAATGCGTGTTTTAAAACATTAGATTTCAAGTAACGTTCGTAATATTTTTACAGCGCCTAATTAGACGATATTGTTGTAAATTCCATAATTTTTTATTGTTATGTTACTGTCTGAAGACTGTTAGTTGCAGCTGTTCTTTGAAAATCAAACAAGGCGTTATTAAGAAAAGTTCTCGCCCTTAACCCTTTTCTTGGTAGTGTATCTGTAGAGATACATCAATTTTTTTTTCTAAACACTTTAGGTCATCAAGGTTAAGTGCTATGAATATTATTTTGATATTTGAAAAAATAAAATTCTGCCAAGTTAAGGGTTAATGCAATGATAGCCGGAGAAGAGTGTTATTTTTTTATTTAAAAATATCGTTTTTATATAAACATGATAAGAACTAAGTAGTCGTTCAAACTCCGTTTTTTAAACTACATTGATTTCTATTTTATTTTCTGATATCCAACGACCAATGCTGACGAAGGATTCCCTTACTTTGATGGCAATAGTCGTTGTAATCAGATGAAATAATATTAACCAGAATAAGGCAGCCTAATTCAATTTGCTGGTCTCAATAGACGAGGGAATTATAATGAAACTAAATTTAGATGCTTTCAAAAAAAAATTGAAAGCAATTCCTGACGGATTTCGGATTACATTTTCCGTAGATTGCCAATCAGTGCGCTTTTTACTTTGAATAGAGATATAATTCTATTTAAAAACTTAGATTGAAATAAAAATCATAAATATAAACTAAAATTACGGTAATAAAGTTAAATAAAAGTGTGAGAATCTTATCAGAGGTAGAATTTCTCTAGAGACGGCAATAAGATTAGTTTCTAGATAGTTTAAGAACTACGAGAAGACATTTCTTTATAACATTACTAGCTTTCGCCCGCGACTCCGTCCGCGTGGAAATAAACAAAAAAGTAAGTAGCCTATGTGTTCTTCAATACTATCCTCTACATTTATACCAAATTTCATCGATATCCGTTCAGCAGTTTAGGCCGTAAATTTAATTTGTTTATTTAAATTTTATTTGTATTTATGTACTTGTAAATTTTGCATATAATTGTCTTTGCACTTTAAATGTGTGCGCTTATATCAAGTAACTAACTTACTACTTATATACACAGACCTACCAAAACACAACACTGAAAATCACAAAACAAGTAAACAATTCAATCAAGAAGTGGTCACTAAACAAAACACTATGTTTCTCGTTTGTTTCTGTTAATGCTGTTTTGTAAGTTTTATTGTAGTTTTAATGCATAAAACAGAGCTATTCATAGATTTACAGCTTAGAAACCCGTCTCGGATTCGCGCGGTTATTCAAGATGCGAGCATATCTCTGTTAAATTTCGGGAACCCATGTTATGTCTCTGATGTTGTAGATGACCATTGGCGTCGAAGATTATTATTCCCTCGTATTCTTTTTACATCAAAAGTGAGATTTTAATGTAAAATCACTGCTTAACTACTCGTACAAGTAAAAGCTACTCCACTCCTCGTTTTGTAGTTCTTAAGTTGAATTATCTGACATTTATTTCTATTAATTTTTCAACTAGTACTGTTTGCGCGTTGTTGTACGTGGAAATGCTTTTAACGTTAACCTTACTAAACATGTTTTCCTGAAATCTTTACTCAGACATGAAATTCAGTTTGATAGCTTCTTTATAAATTGTTAAACGCTTTCAAGTGATTCGGAGAAAGCTCTAACTTTTTGTTTGTTCTTTTATTAACAAGATATTATATTTAACATAACAAAACACTTCTTTTAATTTACTTAAATGTAGATGAAAAACGTAATTGTGTACTCTGAGTATTAAAATTATTTTATACCATGAAAACTATGTTTTAAATACAATACAATAATGTCAAAAGTTATTGAGAAAATAACATTTATAAAAGAAAATTATTATATCATTTTTCACTTTGTAACTTTAATTAAATCTATCTAAATGTAAATGAGATGTAACCTTGACTGTACTTTGGAAAGTTTTTCTAAAGCTCGGACGCAATTCGAAAGTTTGACAATAAGCTCGCAGTGAGAGTGAACACGTTTTCATAAACGCCTGAGAAAATGACGCGAAAAGTTCTTCTGATATTAACCACATTTATCTCTGTCACATTATTAACATGAAAAAATAAAATTATTGATTTAATTTTTATTAAAGGTATTTTTGATATGAATATTTCTTTTAATAGATGGTTAATTGACTTCATAAAAGACTAAAGTAACAAAAATCATTTGCCTCCTGTGAGGTTTGAACTCACGACCCCTGGTTTACGAGACCAGTGCTCTACCACTGAGCTAAAGAGGCTTTCTATCGCCGTTCTTAAAACAGGTACTAATTCCATAGAATTAACAAACGGTATTATCCAATCAAACAACGGTTATATATCTGGATGGTTGGTTATTCCCATCTTATTTTTTTGTTTCAATGTTCACTAAATGATTACCAGCATTTTTTTCATCTTAGTGTCTATGGATGTTTTATACTTAACCATAATGCTAACAACAATAATTATTTGAAAATACTCTTGCACACATCACAAATGATGTCAAACGGGAGTAAGTGAAGAGATGCTGGCTAGTGCTCTAAAAAAGTCACGGATTTACTACAGTTTTTTTCTTTTATGAAACATGAACGTTACGAGTAGCAAAGAGATGTTATCGGCGTCGCTTACGTCGGCAGCGGATATGAAATCTGACGCTAATCTATGTGCCACAGACTTTAAAATCATATAGAATTATAATATAGTCACTTTTGCCCGCAACTTTGTCTGCGCGAAAGTAAAAAAATAACTCAGTAATTAGCCTATCTGTTACTATAAACGTTAGTTAAATAATTAGTAAGATCGTTTTTCACTATTTTAAAATAATATTACATAATAACACATAAAGTAGTTAGTTATGTTATCTATTGGTGGCCTAAGACATAACTTAGAAAGGACGTGTATAAGAATAGGTATTTGATTCATATTAATTTTGTGCGTTAATATTTTTTTCATTAAAACTTATGTCTAACAAGTTTTAAAGTCTACAACAATATGAATACAGCACGGCGCTACAGTGGCGCCGCCCCATTGTTCTCGCGAGATATTCGCCGCTTGTTTTACGTTCAATCTTGCATCGCATCAAGTGCACTATAAATATGTGCGCTTATGTCAAAGTAAATATAACTTATTGCTTGTCACCAAGCAAACAAACAATTAAATTCTTACGTATATCTAGCAGTAGTTACTAAACATAATACAAATTTTTTCATTTGTTTTTTTTTTAAAGACGTTTTTTTTTTTCATTTCTATAGTACAAGTTGGCAACCGGTCATCGTAATT